GGTTCAGTGTCTAAGAGGAAAAATTACAACTCCTGATAAAACTATAAAGGAAGACTATAAAACCTGCTCAATACCTAATATTTGCCAATGCTGTGGTGGTAAGCATTTTAAAAAGGATTGTTTCTTCAGAAACAAGAAATGCTTTGAGTGTGGGAAATTAGGACACGAGTGCATGTTGCAGATCCAAAAAATGGAGAAGAAATAAAATGCATGAGAACAGAATTAATACATGCAATAATTATAAGGAACCCAAAAGGCAACTTAACAACAATGTTTTCATGCAAATAAATAATAGGAAGATCAAGTTGCCATTAGACACAGGATCAGATATTACTGTTATTAACAAACAGACTTGAAAGAAAATGGGTAAACCCAGGTCATTAACTTCTGAGAAAATCACTTATGTGATTCAGGGAAAAGATTAAACTTTTTAGGCAAATTCAGCTGTAATGTTTCGTTCGTTAGGAAGACCAGAAAAACAGTAGAATTTGTGTTGAAAAACACATTTGGCACATAGTGGATGGCATTGTTTGATCTGTGGAATGTACCTATTAACTCATTTTGTAATAACATAAATATTGTTGCCAATTCTAATACAGCAAATGAAAAACTAAAAAGCAATCTGAAAAAGAAATTTTCAGAAGTTTTTTCTGAAGGTCTTGGGATATGCACAAAGGTAAAAGCCAAGTTTCAGTTGAAATACAATGTAACACCTATGCTTAAACCAAAAAGAAATGCACCATTTGTGGCTGTAGATCCAATCAACAATAAATTGGACAGGCTGGAGAAATTGGGAGCAATATCAAGAATAGATTATTCCAAATGGGCAGCACCAACAGTCTACGTTAAGAAGCAGAATAACAAAATACGAGTGTATGCTGACTTTTTGACAGGAATAAACAAAAGTTTGAAAAAGCATAATTACCTGTTACCCACAGTATCTGTCTATATTTGTGAGATGAGGTATTATGTACACTATTTACATTATTCGGACCATTGTCCTCATGTTTATCACAACGTTTCAGCCATTGTACGCACTGGCCTTCTTCAGGTGGTTGGAATGTCGAACTGAACCCTTTATTTTGCTCACTGAGGGAGATTGTTCTAGTTCCATGTCAGTTATCTCCTTTTAATTCCCCTCTGAAAGTTCTCCACTGCTTTAACCTGGTATTGAACTCACTCTCTTTGGGTCCTGTCACTGGATCTAAATGATGCCTTTATCCACTGTGCCATGTGTCCTTGAGATCATTGGTGTATGAATTTCTGGGCATTATAAGCCCAATGTCTTCAGCATTATTTTTTTACCAGTGCTCATATTGCAATTTTTGCTGTTATCATTGCATGTTTTTACCAGAGCTCATATTGCAATTTTTGTTGTTATTATCGCTTTTCTCTGGCACTCCTTATTACTGGTTCCCATATTGTATTTATTTCTATGCTTGGTTGACTCAGGAGATTTTTGTGGCCTAGCATATGTGCTGATTCCTTAAGTTTACAAATTTTCCAATGGTGTTCTTTGTCTATGATCTCAACTTGATCCCACAGAGTGATCTTCCTTTTTTCTCCATATGTGGTCAGCTATGCCTGATTTTTCCACTTACCCTCATGTTACAGCCAGCTTTCTGGTGTTCTTGAAGCCTTACCTTAAGACGGCGGCCTGTCTCTTTTATATTTCTTTCCGCAGCTGCATGGGATAGAGTACACACAGTCTTTAGTCATGCTCTCCTGGGGGGGGGGGGTCTTACTCAAGACAAGAACATCAAAGAGTAACTATACAAATACCTATTTCAAACCTGGGGAAAAAGTATTTTTCAGGATATATCAGCATGGGAAGGAATTTTGGCAAGATGGTGTTGTTAAGAAACAGATAATACAAGGACAAAAGTCAGAGCACAGGCATCACATTAGCCAGCTACAACGTTGCTTTGCCAAATTAAAAAGTCCATGAATGGAAGTACCAATGGAAATCCTGTACAACATATTCAACATTCCTACATCAGCAGAAATAGTGCAACCAAGGGTTAATGGCAAAAGGAAATGAAGGCCAACAGAGTTTCTAACCATCGAACCAAAGCTAAAACAAATATAGACCCCAGGGGAGGTTATTTCAAAGGGGAGGTGTTGTATAAGAGTAAGTGCTGCTGCCAACACTGGTTTGAAACTAGATTGCCAGTGAGCAATACAGGTGATTCCATTATTAAGTAGATCACATGATCATAAAGGAAGTGAATAAATACGAAGTAGCGTAATGTTCACTTTTCTTGTCTATTCACTATTGCTATACGTTCACTCTCTATACTTACTACTAGACAGACTACGATTCTCTTTTGATCATTATACTATTTGGCAATTACTACTTGAACCAGTATTACTAGTGCAGATATTGGAAGGCGTTACTACCAATATCAGCCTCTACAAAGTCTTGAATATAACAAGCATTTTGGAAGTGATAATGAGAATTTGCTTGACATAGCAAAAGTGAAAAGCAAAGCTGTCCAACAGCACAATAGTTTGTTTTCTTTCTTTTTTTGTGTTTTTTTTTTTTAGTTGTACTTAAACACAAATGACTGGAATTCATGCACATTCTTGCCTGGCTGCTTAACCCCTCACTTTCACACTTACCATTTGAAGTTGTGGTCAGTCTCATTACAGTTTGCAACCAATGCATTTGATGCATTATTTTGTAAAATGTTCCTTTTGTGTTCATATAATCTTTTATTTAGTTTCCTTGAGGTTTCTCCTATGTATTTTTGTAGCAAATATTACAGGCAATGGAGTAAACTTCTCCATCAGGTTGTAGCTTATGTTTAGTATTGACTAAGTATTTTATTGTTTTGGATGTAGTAGTAAGGACTTTTATGTTGAGTTTAGATAGATTCTTTTCAATTGTAGATGTGATAGAATTAGCAGGCAGAATTTTTTTTGATTCATTGGGTTTCACAGGATGGTGCCATTTTTATGGTTTTGGAATATTTTGTGGGCCTTTTGTTTCAAATTGAATATAAAACAATTATGATACTGAAGAAGTTTGAAAATGTTTTCAATGTATTTCTCTTTGTGTAAATAATCCAAGCTATATATTCTTAGAGCTGATAGGTAGAATCTGATGATTATGCCAGTTTTTATTTTGTTGTTATAATGGGAATAGAAATTTATTAGGTTATTTTTGTGGGTTGATTTCCAGTGGACATATGAAAATCCCTCTACACTGACATCCCAGTTGAAAAATGCCTAAATCTCCTAAAAAAGTATCTAACATGATCAAAAATAAAGCTCACTCTAACAACAGTTAAAATAATAAAAATCTGCTATCTTGTGGCAGAGAGCAGTGGCCACGCTTGAAATATTAATAATTATAGTAATATAGAACTTTGTTCATAGATGAGAAAAATAATCTGTGGTGAAGTTTGTGCCCAGAGAATCTGTGCTTCGTCAGAATTATTAATATAAAATGTCAAAACAATAGTGTTTATATGAACTATGGAATACCAACTGAGAAGAAGAGACTCTTCATTTAATCATGAAGTGGGAGAGATCAGTAATCAGGTCGTATTCTGTTTACCAACACCCCGGGTTTTTGTTGCTACCACCGCATTTATTTAAGCACGTGTTTGTGTGAAAACAGTTGAAATTGGAATTGAAGCTAGGTGAAATGAGTTGACAAGCAGTTGACCAGAGAGAGAGAGAGAGAGATAGGCAGTGAGACTGAAAGTGTCTGCTTGCTGTTGTAAGTAATGAACACAAGTTATCTGCAATATTGGCGCAAAACTACCAGTGAGTCCCCTTATATCCTGAAAGTGAAATAATTATGGCAACTACTAAAGGAGAAAAAGGGTGAACCCAAAAACTAATTCTCTCCTTTCACAATTATTTGCAATGTATGTTTTCTTTTTTTTCTTGGACTTTATTTCATATACATTAGTTTCGTGTAAAAGCATTATTTTTTTGTACCAATTTCTTCCTTATATACATAAATTTTTCTTTGGACTTAAATTGACTTGTTCATATTTGATTTTTCTGCTTGGCCCAATTCTCACCCCAACAAACTTGCAGGTAGACCAGCTGAATCTTCTGGGATCTACGATTTGTTAATGGCTCTGTAGGAAAAAAAAAAAAAAAAAAAATCACAACATGGCTGGAAAGTGGAACTGAATCAACATTGTGAAGCAGAGACTTTGATTGAGCCTATAATACTGGACCAACGGCCGGTCTGGTAGAGTACATTGATCCAGTGGGGTGAGGATAGGTGTTACAATCTCATCACTAATCGATACTACTTCACATTCAATAATAACTGTTACAAACAAAAATTTGGATTACTAACAGATCACCTCTCAGTGGAGGGATGGCATGTATCATCTTAGAATTTCTCAAATCCAGTCTTTTCCAAAACATTTTACCCAAACAATCAACATACTTTTGTTATGTTGATGATGCTCCACTTATATATCCTCATGATACTGATTTACCTAACCTAGTAGATCAACTAAACAAAGTCAAACACACAATAGAATTTACATACAAAATGGAAAAACAATTCCTAATAAATTCACTACAATGTAAATGTCTGGAGAGTGCCTTAATCACAAGGTTGTCTACAGTAAATTTAAACCCTGGCTCTTACAATATTTCACCATTCCTGGCAGATCTTCTAATATCACAGTGTGGAATACATACTTACAAAAGTGATGGAAAGAAAAAGAAAAAAAAAAATTCTAAAATTCTCAGCACCCCTCTGGCATTGCATTGCCCCTCTCAGCCTCTTCTTCGGGTGATTGGAATTTCAAACCAAACCCTTCTTATGAAAAAATCTTCAGGAAAATTTGAAAGAAATTGTTTTCTCACTGAGCTCTGAATTGACCAATATGTTAATATCACACAAATTTATTAACTACATTTTCTTTCCTTATAATTTTTAAAATCTCAAAAGAAACTTGCTAGCACATTCAGATGTTTCAGCAAATAATATCAAAAGTTATTCTGAGGTAAATTTTCCTTACACTGTTGGTACATATTCACCAGGAAAACTGTCTGTAGTATATGATATTAGCATACAGGTCTTGCCAACAGTTCCATCTCCGACCACAACACACTTGATCGGACGACCCTGTGCCATTTTTCGTCACCTCTTTGAGCCTGTAAGAAAGATAGAGATAAAAACAAATTAAATTACCAAAAAACAAAGATACTGGGAGGAGAATTTTTTCTTCTAATTTATATACATATTAAAAATAAAAATTTGTCAATATACAGTGGCCAACGAAAAGTCTTTAGCAGGAGAAATAAATAAATTTAATTACATAATCCCAACTCAACATAAATAAACAGTATTTGGAACTAGTATAGAGTAGGTCCTCCATTTTCTAGTTTCTGTGCTTGTATTCGATTTTTCATGGATTTGATCAAGTTATCAACAATTGTCTGATCCATATTTTGCCACTTCTTTTAGCAATGTTTCTTTAAGGGTTGCCACTGACGTGATTTTAGTTGCACTCTTTCAAAGTTTTGGGTCAAGGCGCTCCCAAATGTGCTCTATTGGATTCATGTCAGGACTTAGGGCTAACCATGGCAGTGAGATGATTCCTTCCAGGCCTTTGCTTGTGTTCCATCTTCTTGAAAAAAAAATAGACATTCTTGTCAATCTGATTGGTTTCAAATAGCAGGAGTAGTCCTTTCTCTAATATTTGGTAGTAATTTGGATCATTCAACACTTGTCAACAAGAATCAGCTCAGATTTCCCTCCAAACCAGACAGTGCCCCCACAAGACATTACTCCAATCCTTCCATGTTTCACAGTTGCCTCCAAATCTCATTCTGATTTCTCCAAACATAAACCTGTCTTGAATTCAAATATTGGCAGAATTTACTTTTATCTGACCAAAATTCATAATCTTTGCTCTCAAATTTTTCTGACCGGTCCATATGCCTGTTCCTGTTGACCTCTGAAATCAAGGGCTTCTTTCTTGCAACTCTTCTTTGATAGTCTTAGCTCTTTCAAAGTCTTTCTCACAACATATGGCAACATTCCTATGCTGTTGGTGACATCTTTGATGCTCAGACGACAGATACTGATGACTTCCCTCTTCAGCGCCCTTTTCATTTGCTCAGACACTTAGTCTTCCTGAATGTTGTTCCACATGACAATAGTCTTCTTCATTATATTTCTTGACAATATTATTAAGCTGGAAAAACGTAACAATTTCTCTATTTGACTTACCACACTGATGACATCCTATTATTTGCCCTTGTTGAAATTCACCAATTTCCTTACTTCCACAAACTTTCATTGCAAAATATAAGTCAACTATCATTTATAGATGAAAGTAGCTTGATACTAACATGTTATTGTCTAAAAAAAAGAAAAAAAAAGAAAGAAAGAAGAGACATTATTACACAAGCCAAAATTGCTGTAATCAAGGATGGCTAAAAACTTATCATGGCCCACTGTAGTTCATTAATTATATACATGTGATTAAATCACTAAATATACAATCTTCAATACCTAAAATTGACAATGAGTATATAGCAATATCTTTTCATTATATCTTATAAACCAGCAGTGTTTGTTTTGGAATTATTAAATACCTCATACAAAACTGGTAAACTATTAATGTAATAGACTAAAAAATAAAAGATTCTAAAGACCTACTGCAAGTGCAAGATAAAATCTTTGAAAGGATATAGAAGCAATAAAAATAAAAATGCTATAATGTAAAAACTTTATATATATATATATATATATATATATATATATATATATATATATATAGCTTTGCAAATAAGAAATAAGTATATAATGGAAATAAAACTACTTTATAACAAGTTGAAACATAATCCTTTACAGGATGTAAAAGACATAACAAAAATAAAAATTCTATAATGTAAGATTTTTTTTTTTTTTTTTACATGTATAATTTTGCAAATAAAAAAATAATTACAAAAAAATAAAATGATTTTAAAAACGAAGTTGAGATGAATTTCTTCAAAGGAAATAGTAAATATGCAGTAGAAGAAATAAGAATAAAAGATAAAAAAATTCCTTGTTATGCGAGACTTTTTACATAAAGTGTAATTTCAACTGGAGTCAGAGTCAGTATAGTTTTAGTGACCAACTCCAGTGACCCTTTAATTGCTTCCAACTCCGACTCCATCGCCCCGTGGTAAACTCACTAAAAGCTATAGATCTCCAAGAGTGTTACTCATAGATTTGCCAGTGAAAGTTATTATTAGAGGGATGAAAAAATTGTTAATATATAAAGCACAGATGGTGTAATATTCATGAAAATATTTATGATACACTTAGTACTGAGTTACTGAGATTCATGCTTAAGATGCAGGTTTCAGCCATTTTTAAAATTCACGTTATATATATGTAAAGGAAAATTGCTAAAAAAGATCTGGTCTTACTTCAAACTCTATAAAGAAAAATTCATGAAAATTATATTAACTATAAACCTAGAAATAAAAAGCATTTGACTCAACAATGTGTCAGGGCATAGGCGCAATGAATAATAACAATAATTAGTTAAGATAACACAATGGTTTGCAAAGTAATAACCCTAAAACAATTTGTTCCTTTTTGGTTTCATGAGTACTTATGCAATAAGTCATATTTAAACTAAACATGATTAAAATTTAAAAAAAAAAAAAAAAAAAAAAAAAACTGTGTTTATATATCTAATAGCTAATATATAAATTATCAAAATATATTTACTGATTTGGGATAAAATATATTATTTTAGTTTTGATTTAAGCAGTTAACTAAAAAAAACAAAACAACAAAAAAAAAAACTAAGTTTATTGAATATAATCAAATGATCAGTGCCAATATTAGGATGAAAGAGGTTAAGAATGACACAACTCCCAGTAGAGTGTGTTGAAAGCTTCTTTATTAAAACACAGGTAAACTTTCTAGTAGCAGGAGAAAGTGAATGAATCACAGAAAGAGAGAGGAAAAAAAAAAAAAAATGATGTCCAAGAAGTCCCACTGGTGAATTCTAATCCAGAGGACCCAAAAAGGAAAAGATCAAGAAAAGGACATAACTTACTAAACAAATGCCAGTATTGGCACAATAATTTTTTTTAATTTTTTTTTTGTATGAAATAAGGAACAGAGAATTGGAAGTGTTAGGACAGTATATAATCTTGAAGGTGTTTTGGAACATGGTAATCATAAACAGCATAACTAGGTTGGCTCTGTGTGGGCAGAAATGTTGGGCTATTACTTGGTGGTTCTTCCTCCACAAAGTGGGTTCTGGTTAACACCAAGAAGTGAGGTAGGTTCATCCAATCCATGATCAAAGTTGGGGGATTGGTGATATATCAACAGGATCAACAACAATCCTGTACCGCATCAAAACTTCCTGAGAGGTTAGTGGTTTTGTGCTTCCTTAATTTTGTGCTTAAAAAAAAAAAAAAAAAACCCAGCCAGGTGGAGTTCCCCTTGTGTGAAGCATAAAGTGTGGCATCAAGTCTACATTTGCATATAGAACTGTCAGTGACAATCTACAATTTGTTGCTTGGTATGGATAGTAGAACCACTTTGTTGGTTAGCAAATGACTCTTGGCTTCTGAGAAGTGATAAAGAAGTTCATCAGTTCACTGAAGTTTTTCCTTGGATTGTTTTCTGGCTATGGTATTCTCCAGTGGTGATAAAATCTCAGTGCATTTTGGTATAACCTGCCCGAGAAACAGTGTCAGGACTATTGCATGAAGACAATGTTGAGATTCTATGTTGACTTGCAGATATTTTTCCCTCCAACCATGTCTAACCAAGTATAGTTATCATGTGTGGGCATATAGTGGCATCAGAGAGGGTCGAGGCTTGCTATATCACCATTACATTTTCAAATGCTGTTATGAGTCTATAACCACCATTGGGTTTCTTCACTAGAAAAGATGGGTTCACATACTCAACTGTAATGCCTACATCCTCTGGTAAGTGGTCCTTCCTTTATGACTTTAACTGCACCAAGGTTTAGTTGTGGTTCTGGAATGGAGTTTGTATTAAAGTCTGTTGTTAGATAAAGCTGGCAAAGGTCGTTGTTCTTGCATATAAATTGTGGCTCACCAGTATCATTCATGATTCTAACCTTACTACCCACTGCTCCAATCATTTTAGATTTGGGCCAGTTGGGTGTTGTGCTTCTATCAATCCCATAGCAAGAGTAGATTCAAGATGGAGTACCTTGGGGATGTTTAGTTCCATATACACTCCAGGTCAAACTACTGTTGACGAACTTTCAAACTTGAGTTTATGGGCTTGTGTACGTCGTATGTGGGTTGATTGTAGTAAAGGTTGGTAAATATTGGATAGTGAGAGAGTCACCAATTGTAACCTGGTTCTTGGATGGTTGAATGCCAATGTCATTAGTTTTCATGAAGGGCATGCTAACTAGTACATCTACATCTGAAGTGTTGGCATATGTAACCTATGGATATAGATTTTTTTTATGATGGTATTTCTAGACATTATCAGACAAAATTTGTCCAAACATCAGCTCCACATAAGATGCCTTCTGCACCACAGTACACCTTATGTTCTCAGCAAGTTCTTTTGTATCATTGCCACTTGAAAACCATCAACTAAAATAACTTTGGGTCTAGAGATAAGGCATAATGAAGTTTCTGTTTCCATGCTTCAAAGGAAGTTATTGTCTCCTGTTTTGCTAATGACTATTGTTTAGGTGCACATGACAAAATTTTCTAAAGAGGGTTTTACAATGATACCACTAGAGTAAAAATGGCACAGTCTATGCTGTGTAAGCAAAAGGAGGAATGGTCCTTTTTCTTACCTTAAATGAGTTTAAGGGCCTCGCCAATATTATGATGAAAGAGATGAAGAAGGACACGATTCCCAGTAGACAGTGTTGAAAGCTTCTTTATTAAAACATGGGTAAACATCCCGGTAACAGGTGAGAGAAAAAACAGTGTCCAAAAAGTACCACCAGTAAATTCTAACCAAGGAAATCCAAAAGGGCAAAGATCCAGAAAGGGAAATAACTTACTAAACAAATGCCAGTATTGGCACAATTCAAACAAATTCCTGTCCCCAAAGCACCTTAATAGATAAAACATGGTTATAATACTTGCTTATTCATCATCAAGCCTTTCCCC